GCTACTGACGCAGCTGTAGGGGAGGGCCCTGGCAAGAGGGGCCTTTAGGGCACAGAGATTTGGGTTCAGCTCAGCTTGTGACCAGAGCAAAATGGCAGGCTGGAAGCTTAGACACCATGGAGGCCCTGGGGTTCCTTCAAGAACCTCCGGGAACCCAGGCTCAACCTAGTGAGCTAGAAAGGAACTAAGTTCTGGCAAATGGACCTGCATACAAAGACTAAAACCATGGGAGCCACATTCTCGATTCAAGAATGAAAGCAGGATATGATGACAAGTGCTCCGATGGGAAAAGGTTAAGGCAGAGCTGGTTTGCTGTCGCTGATTTTTTTTTTCCATTTTGCTTCTCTGATCAGTGATTTAGTTTCTCTTTATGCTGTCAACCCAAACAAATATCATGTTTTGACTTTCTTGTGTTTTCTTGTTTAAAGAAATTCGGACCATGTTGGGTGTAAATGCTCTCATCTTGCTCCCAAAACAAATGCTGCGGGAGAGCCAAGGATGCTTCTCTGGGCTCACACACACACACACACACACACACACACACACACACACACGTATCAGTGTGAGCTCCCTGTCCTGGGCTGTTAGTGGTGCCTGCCTCCTGTCCCCACTTCAGCACTTGGCCGTGGCCGATGGATGACCGTGCTCCACTCAGGCTCAGGTGGGTGTCTGCATCTCCTGTAGCATTCCTCCTTCCCACATCTGAATCCTGTGAAGGGAAATAGAGTATAGCATTCTCGGTGGGGCTTGGGTTGCAGAAAGCCTCCCGCTACACATTTCTCATACTTGTTGACGTTATGTCCGTGGGCCAGAATATGATGGGGGCTCCCCCTTTCCGGAGAACCCTCAAGGAATGTGATGTCTCAGTCTCTCCCACTTCTCCCATTGAAATAGAGCCAATTGGTGGAGACAAGGCTGAGCTAGCTGGTTTCCCCCTCTGTTGCCTCATTTATTCCTCACAACAACCTTGAGAAGCAGATGCTATTATTGCCATTTTACAGATGAGGAAATTAAGATTCAGAGCGATTAAGTAACTTGCCCCAAGTCACCTGGCTAGTAAGAGGCAAGGCTGGGATTGAACTCAGGTCTTTGTGGAATTATACCTAATTGCCTTCCCCTGTACCACTGCTCTTTGTCACTGACTGACTGACAGGCCTGGTTAAAGAATTAAACAAGGTAATGCTTGAGAAGCACTTGGCACCAGATCCATGATTGTTATAGCCGCCAGCCCCCGAAAGACACATGGACCACCAGAAATCAATGAGTTATAGGAAACACACTCTTTATTCAGCCAGCTGGGTCTGCCAGGGGTACACAGACCCCAAATTAAGCAGCCCTGAAATGTAGAGGTACAGGGTTTTTAAGCTCTAAATCCCGTTCCTCATTCTGTCTTAACCACAAAGGTCTATTTTTCTCCTGTTCACTACCAGTCAACTCACAGGTCGGGTGTGCAAGCGGGGGTACAGAAGCAGAAAGCTTATTGTTAGAATGTTATGTTCCCATGGGTGATAGCTTATGTTCCCATGGGCAATAGCCAAGCAGTAGTTTTCCAGCCAGCACATGATAAGTGACCTTCTAAGAGCAAAAGCAACACTCAATGGACCAGAGTAAAAATATGCACAATTGCCTTAAAGCAAAAGCTCTCAACCTATATCGTACGTGAAATCACGGTGGTGGAGTGGTGCTTGTAAAAACCTCACATACTCGGGCTGCACCTCAAACCAATGAAGTCCAAATTTTGGAGGGTGAGTCTCAGGCATTAGCAGAATAAATTTCCCCCAGATGATTCTAACATGTAGCTGAGGCTGAGAAAACCCTGGGACAGCAGTTCAGTGTCCATCTGGCCAGAGGAGCCTGACCAGAGAGTTTAAGATACATAAAGAATGTGTCTGTTAGAAGACATGGAAAGGAGCGTTACAGAGCCCGCCCTTTCAGTGACAATTCGACCACGCCTGGAGCAGAAGACCCACCCAAGGCCCGTACACGCCCAGCCCTGGAGGCACATTTGCCGGGAGGAGGGGAGCGGGGATGGAGGAACGAGGCCTTAGCAAACCTATCTCAGAACCAACTGCTGATGGGCCAGCTTCCTACCACACAGGGAAGAAATGGGCAAGTCGGTTACATCTCTTCTGTAAATGAACTAATCAGTATTCTCATAATAATAGCTTTTGCTTGACAGTTACTGTAAATGAAGATTAACCTTCAGGTGTTACTTCAGTAAATTTAGATCTTCCCTGGAAGACAGTCTCCCTTGGTGAGCTGATGAATCTGGTTTCTGATTTAGGCCCCTCCCTTGAACTGTGGTGAATTCACCAAGAAAGACCGTGAGGTGTCCTAGAGACAGCCACAGGCTCCAGACACAACTCACACCAGCTTCACTGTGGACTTCGCGTCTAACTTCCTGAACAGAGATTCACTGTAAGCAAATTCCCACCTTCCCTCCTCCTCCTGTAGTTTTCCCGTGGTCAAATGCCTCTTATATATCTTCAGAGCTTCCCACTCTCTAGGGCACATTAAATTGTTCACACCCCCTGCACTCCACACTGTCCTGACCCTGTGCCCTTCCCCAAACAGGCTGTCCCCATCCACTCGCACCTCTGCCCGTGCACTTTCCTCTCTCCTTTCTATGACTCCTTCTTCTTTCCTCTTCCTCCGTTCTTCATCTGGTGATGCTTTGTTCATCCTCTAAAACCCAGTGTAAATGTCACCCCCCCACACACCTTTTCCTGCTTGTTGCTTTGTTCTTCCCAACTCCCTTAGTACTTTAAACAAAACTCTATGATGGAGGTTCACACGCTGAACTCTAGTTCATTGGCTACACTAGAATGTCCTCCTCTCATTCTCCATCATAGAACCTGAGCTTCCTGGAACAGGAACCATGTCCTGTTGGCCGTGGTGGCCTGGTGCCTAGCATGGCATCATGCTCACTATGGGTGTTTAAATACAGCTCTGTTGAAATCTAAACAAACAACAATAGTTACGGCCAAGTAATTCTTTTTTGACTAACTCAAAAAACAAAGATCTAAGAAAGTTCAAAGATCCTGAGTGAAAAATCACCCTGGCTGCACAGGTTAAGCCAGGACACAAAGCCAAAGGGTGACAATGACACTCTGAGCCCA